TCTCACATTCCACCCACCCCCTGTTTCCATTCTTGCCTAGGCCTCTTCCTGCAGTCTTCTACGATACTGATGTCACAGACCTCTGGTGGCATTGGCTTCCTCACAGTTCAGCAAGATTCGTCTGGCACCACTTCAACCAGAGGACCGGCTGGAAGAACCACATATCTTCCAACTGTCTCTCATTTTAACGAACTGTCTTTCTATTGGAACCAAATGCCTTTCTTTCCTCCCCTGTTGTCCCTCTTTTTGGTGCGTTGTACAGAAATCTTTGAAAATATACTTTTTAACTACTAAAACTTTTACCTTATCTCTTAATTATCATGTCTGCAATTTTGAAAAGCCAGCATAAAGGAAAAGTAATGGTGAAAAAAAATTAACTAATATTTTTTGCAAATAAATTCTTAATGGCCCGCATAACTGGAGGCATGGCAGGGGTGTGTGCATTGCCTACATACATTGTGCTAAAAGGTATCTTTTTTCTCACTTCAGAAAGTTCATAGGCATGGAACCAGGAAGAAAATGATTCTACTGTCAGCTCCCAAAGACAAAGAAAATAAAGATGGTGGTGTGGGGTATTATGTGCAGTAGAAGTGCCTTCGGGGGAGAAAAGGACATTTGCAGAATTTCCTAGACTCGGGGCTTTGGAGTATGTTTTTCCTGGATAAAAGCTTTACACAATCTCTCTAAAAGAATCCATCAAATTTTAAGTGGAAAACAGATCCAGACTTAGAGCTAAATTATTTAAAGATTCCTTGTTTTTAAGAGAACAAGTGCAACTTCATCATGTATAATGAATTTCTCAACAGATTTATATCTTCATTATGCGCTGAATAATTTAGGTAGCTCCGAAACACTGCATGCTTTAGAAAGATTATTCACCCTTCATTATGTTTGGAAAGCATGTCACTGTGTGCCCAACAGTAATCTCTGGTGCAAACTTTCCCTGCAGATGTGTCTAGACTAAATGTGTTAAACTCCAGACATTAGGATGGAAACTTTCTCTGTATTGTCCACAGGTTTACATTAAAGGAGAACTATGGGGTCAGTGTTTTTCCCCATAGTTCTCCTTAGGGTAATGGGAGGACACAAACTAGCTTCCTCCGGTTACCCTAAGCTCAGTATACCGCGAGCTACAGCTCGCGGTATACTGAGACGCCGCAGCCGGAGCGGATCCCGACATCGACGTCGAGATCCGCCCAGCTGCGTGAGTGACAGCTGGCTCTGCCTATCTAGAGGCACAGCCAGCTGTACTCGCGCCCTCCCCCGTCCGTTCCGTCAGTCAGCGCTGGCAGATCGGAGCGGGGAGAGGGGAATCCAGCCCCTCCCCCTGTCACGGCAGAGAGCCGTGACAGGATCGAGAGGTGAGCGAACCCGGTAGGTGTTCGCTCACCTCCCAATCTACTGAGCCGACAGTCTCATTGTCACGGCTAGAACTATGAGGTGAGTGGAAATCACTCATCTCATAGTTCTCCTTTAACCACACCCAGAACCCAGTAATAGTCACCTTTTTTACCCTAGCACAAGGTGTCAGAAGACTCTGGATAATCTCCTACAATCCAAGCTGAGCTAGATGGCAAAAGAATGTGGCAGAATATGGCGCATGCCTTTGCAAAACTTTGAAAGGCAGACTGAAAATGGTAACTGTTATTTTTAAGTTGTTTTTCATTTTTGCCACAGATGGGCTTTACCAAAACTTTACATATAGCACATTTATATAGAATACATCTGTGAACACACAAATATATATGTGTGTGTGTGTGCACACAGCAGTTAGTTGAAGAGAAAAGTAAATCTAATATTAGTAATATCTTACCCTTGTTTTGGCATCAATCTGTCCTCCACGGTCTAGCAATAACCTCACCATGTTTGTATTTCCTCTTTTAGAAGCCACATGCAAAGGGGTAATTCCATTCTGTACAGATAAAATAATACTGTTTTATCAAACTTGGGTGTAAATCAAATTTTACAGAGTTTAATATATTTTGCTAGACAGATACATAAAATAATATAAACTGGTACTGAACATCAATGCAAACTGACTGGACCATTCTATTTGCATAATGCTATCTGTCAAAGGCTTCTACTTGCCTGTGCTGTAATTATTACATCATTACACCATATAGACCTTTCATGAGTAATTACTGCAAACGTTTAGTATTTATTATACAATTCAATTGTACAGCAATACCTAATACACACAGAAAACATTTTGGCCTAAAAAGAACAGAAAAGCAATAATTGTAATGAATATTCTTACTCTGGCTGTGAAGTCAACGGCGGCACCTCTGTTGAGCAGGAGTGTAGCAACATTGACGTTTCCATAATGTGCAGCAATGTGTAGCGGTGTGAAGCCACTCTAAAGAATGCAAAACAATGATACAGTGAAGCAATGAAATACAATGAGATCATTTCATGCTATTTGAGGACGAAATAAAGGGTGTTATGGATCTGCTAAAATTTCCACATATAGTAAATAAGATAAGAGAAATGTTAGGCAGTAACCAGCCAAATTAAACTGAGCAGGAGTTACGTGGACCAAGAACAAGATATTTTTCAATGTAAGGGATAAATAAAGGGTATTTAAGCAGAGACATTGATGGCTAGTAGTATGCATATTAAAAGGCACCAGCCGTAGGATTCAATCTAACAAAAGATGTGTTACATAGTTACATAGTATTTGAGGTTGAATAAAGACATTAGTCCATCAAGTCCAACCTATTAGGATCTCATTCTAGGAGTACCCGTACCCCTGTATATTACGGTCCCTTAAGAAATCGTCCAAAAGATGTGTTCAAATATGAAATCTGACCTGACACACTGGAGCAAGCAGGATCCACCAATAAATGTATTTATATGGCTGTTCTGTAGAGCTTTAGTAATTTGCTAGCTACTAATTTTATACAACCCCAATTCCAAAAAAGTTGGGACGCTGTGTAAAATCTACATAAAAACGGAATGCAGAGCTTTGCAAATCTCATAAACCCATATTTTACTCACAAAAGAAAACATATCAAATGTTTAAACTGAGAACATGTACCAGTGTAAGAAAAAAATCAGGTAACTTTAAAATTGATGGCAGCAACACATCTCAAAAAGTTGGGACAGAGCAACAAAAAGGTGGCAAAGTAACTGGTACTAATAAGGAAGAGCTGGAAGAACATTTTGCAACTAATTAGGTTAATTGGCAACAGGTCGGTAACATGATTGGGTATGAGGTTCACCGATTTGCATTTAAAAATTGTCGAACAATTTTAAAATACTGTTCCTCAATGTAAAATTGCAAAGACTTTAAATATATCATCATCTACAGTACATAATATCACCAAAAGATTCAGAGAATCTGGAAAAATCTCTGTGCGCAAGGGACAAGGCCAAAATGTCGGATGCCCCTGATCTTTGGGCCCTCAGACAGCACTGCATTGAAAACAGGCATTATTCTGTGATGGACATCACTGCATGGGCTCAGGAATACTTCCAAAAATCACTGTCTGTGAATACAGTTCACCGTGCCATCCAAAAATGCAAGATAAAGCTCTATCTAAAAGAAGCCATATCTGAACATGATCCAGGAACGCTGCCGTCTTCTTTGTGCTAAAGATCATTTAAAATGGTCTGTTGCAAAGTGGAAAACTATTCTGTGGTCAGACGAATTTAAATTTTATATTCTTTTTGGAAACCATGGGCCGCGTCTTACGGACTAAAGAGGAGAGGGACCTTCCGGCCTGTTATCAGTGCGCAGTTCAAAAGCCTGCATTTCTGATGGAATGGGCGGCCTGCACCTTTGAAAAGGCACCATCAATGCTGAAAGATATAGCCAGGTTTTAGAGCAGCATATGCACCCATCCAGATGACATCCTTTTCAGGAAAGGCCTTGCATATTTCAGCAGGACAATCTCCAGACCTTTCACCAATTGAAAATATTTGGCATACTTTCAATTTGTGTTCCTTGTTGCGGGGCTTGCATGCCCTATTTCTGTTCTCTTATTGATTGTAACCTTTATGTGAAAACAAAAATTATAAAAACCAAATAAAACCTTTGTGAAAGAAAATATTTAGCGCCTCTTGAAACGAAAAAGACGACAAAGAAGACTCATGACTGTTGAGCAGTTAGAATCCTATATCAGGAAAGAATGTGACAAAATTCCATACTCCAGCAACTGGTCTTCTCAGTTCCCAGATGTTTACAGAGTGTTGTTAAAAGAAGAAGGGATGCTACACCAAGTTTTTAAGACATGTTGCTGCCATCAATTTAAAAATGACTTTATTTTTTTCTCTTAAAATGGTAAATTTTCTTAGTTTAAACAATTGTTTTCTATTTTCTCTTGTGAAAAAAATATGGGTTTATGAGATTTGCAAATCATTGCATTCTGTTTTTATGTAGATTTTACACACCGTCCCAACTTTTTTGGAATTGGGGTTGTACAATGAATATGCAATAATATACTTTATCTGTGTATTGCTTATGATTCAACAAAGGACAAATAAGTCACCTTTCACTCAACATAGAGGATGAGTCAACCCTACTTAACTAAAATAATAATAATTATTATTATTATTATTATTATTATTAAATCATACCTGTTAATAAGCGGGAAATCCTAAGATACACTTAGTACTTCCAGGTATTGTGCCATCATATACCGTACATACCCCGCTGCCTCTAACAATACAGTGCTTAAGAGGTATGACTAGTCGTACACAAATACAGACTTTCTAAAGTTGGATCAGGGCAGTAAAGGGAATAAGAATAGACACTGTATATGGTACTTACAACAGAGCTACTGGATTACTTTTACTGCTTTTTTCACAGTACAGAGTTACTTTAAAAGAGATAGGGAAAATTGAAAAGCTTTGTCCGATAGCTATTGTTTTCCCTACGTAAGCCTGCAGCATGCCTCCCTATTGCCCAAATATAAATGTTGAAACCAATGCATGGTAAATTAGTAAGATCCTTGTTCCTATGTATTAATGAACAGTTTGTAATTACTCCAAAACTCCACAAAGTACATCAAGAACTCATGGCAATCCTTTGACGCAAAGTGATGTATAGTGTGAAATCTGTCATAGGATTACCAGGAATTCCTGATGTATTTTGTGGATGTTTAATAAAGTATTAAGCAGTAATGATCGGTTTGTACTCTGAACTATGTTCTGAATAAGACGGGTTGGCGGCGATGAGCCAGAGAGGCACCTATCCAAGCTACAGGTGAACCATTGTGGAGTGGTAATAATTGTTTGACACATTACAATTGAATCTCTTATCTCCTTGCTGATTGAAAACAAACATTTCTTTACTGTAATGATATGGAAGATCATGTGTGCTATACACCCTGGTCCAGATATGTTAGGAAGGTTTCTTCCGCATTCCACAAAACCTATGTTGCTCTTCAAACGATTGTGTATAATATACAAATTATAAAGGTTGTTAGCTATACCACACGGTTTCCCAGTAAGCCGTGTGTTCAGTACTTATCATTCTTTCTATATATGCTGTAGCATATTATTTCATGTTATTGTATTATTTGTAGTTATTGTATTAACAAACACATATAAATGGGTATCTTCATTTTCTCCATTTGGCTATCTATGATTATATTAAATATGAACATAAGCATGACTAGCATGAGCTTTATGTGTAACATGTTGTGGCAGTAAATGTGCCCCTTTATCCTGCCTGAGAAAGTTAGAAAGATATCGAGTTCATGGTAAAGGGCAGAAGAATTTGGTAGAAACAAAGCAAGAGCGATATTAATTCTGCAGTGTACTCACTTGTCTAAATATTTTACAATTTACTAAGGCAGTCTTTGCCTTGGTTCTGCTTGCTTTTGTCAGCACTGCAATTGTTTGAATGTGCAATTTTGCTGCCTGAAAGCGTAGGCTAATGCTGGAAATGACTGGGCGTGTAGAACTTCTGTTCACCCTGCTTCCCTGCAATGCAGCAGATAGCTTTTCTGCCTGCCTTTCAACTATTTCAATTTATACACTAACATACATCATCTGTCTATGCTGACTTATGCACTCTCTGCAATAGTTGTTTAAATAAAATGACGAATCATAGGGTATACATTTTGTATTTACTGTACTCAGTAAATTAAACACAGTATGCAGTACAGTATATATAACCCTTCATCTTCACTGTTGATGTGAACAGCATGCAAAGCTAAAGAATACAGCATATGAAAATATAAATGCTTTTCTCTAAGGCCTTGTTCACACCGAAAACGTGTGCGTTCCAGAGCGGTAGCTGCTGGAACGCACCGCAATCACTAAGAAACTTTTCCCTGCGTTTTGGGGCGGGCGGGTGCGTGGTGGTGCATTGACTTCAATGCCCGCAGTGCGATCGAACGTGTGGCAAGACTTTGCCAGCGTTCCATTCTACTGCAAACGCAAAAAATAGGGCTTGCTCTATTTTTTGCGTTTTTAGTGGCACGCAACGCTGGCAAAGTCTTGCCACGCGTTCGATCGCACTGCGGGCATTGAAGTCAATGCACCACCACGCACCCGCCCGCCCCAAAACGCAGGGAAAAGTTTCTTAGTGATTGCGGTGCGTTCCAGCAGCTACCGCTCTGGAATGCACATGCTTTCGGTGTGAACAAGCCCTTACACTGGTTAAAGCAAATGTCTTAAGAGTAAAAATGAGTATTCAACCAGCTCTGTCCCTATGCTTCACATTTTGCACATAGTGTTATTGTTTTAAAATATTGATTAATTCACTGAGCCCTCCTGTTCTTTTAGGCCTCATGCAGATGGACACAAAAAATCGGTGTTTAGATCTGCATGGTTTATTATTTTATTTTTACAGATCCGAACGCAGCTCTATTATTTATTATGACACTACAGCCTACTACCACACAACCACTGTGTTCCTTTTCTGCTCAGTGCTACTGTTGATCATTTAGTGTTTAGAAGCTAAGGGTATGTGGTGAGACAGAGGGGATATCATAAGACTGGGATTCAGGTTTGTGTTTGTGGTGGAGAGGTGCATCCTAAAATTTCATACAGCATCTGCTTGTGAGCCTTGGTCATAATTTCCCCATATTTAACAAAAGTAAAGCCTTGAAATAACTTATACTCTAAGACAGGTGTATTCATAAAATAGACTACTAGAAATGTACAGTATAGCATATAATCTCTGCCTTGCATAACACGTTATTTGAGAACCTTTGTAAGGCCTTTGCATCTTGACTTATTGGTGGGCCTGCAAACCCCTATCTGATATGACAGCTGGCACTAATATCTTTACTCAGTAGCAAATGCCAAATGAGCAAATGATGAGAAATCGCAAAGAAAATACTCTGCTATCTTGAATCCATTACTATAATATAATGGGGACCCATAGCCCTTTTGCCTCTAAAGCAAGGTACAGTTACAGTATAGTCCATAATTGCCTGTAAGATGATTAAATTAAGGTCAGAGGTTTGTTAGCCTCTCTATTTGATTACCCAAGCAAAGTGCCCCATGGTTACTTACAAACCTAACTCAGCATTTAGTTTTAGTCATTACTACAGTTACCCAGCAATGTCCTACTTTGTCCTTGGTTTAGACCAAACCCTTCCTTTAATATACTGTTCAGTCATTCCCTGACATGATTGATTCCTGTGTCATCCACTCTCTCCTCCCTCAATTCTCCCACCATCCTTCTGTCACACTGAACATACATGCAAGAATATCTGACTTTGTCATCGGTAAAGCTCATTACAGATAGAACGTTACTTCTGCAGGGAGTATATATATATTTTTAACAGCACTTTGCAGAGAAATAAAACATAAATGAAAATATAATACTCAAGCACAAAATAACTGTAAGCAATGTTTGCTGGAAGAGATGCATGCAACAGAGCAACAAGAAGGAACAGATATAGTATATACCTCTGTCGTCCTATTCACCATCATCTGAAGTAGCGTGATTTGGAAAAAGAGCAAATATTAGTACCACTTGTATTAATGTTGTATAAGATTATCAGTGCAGCTAATGACTCCAGACAGTGTTGTTAAAAGTTGAAAATGTTTCTATCCACTATGCCACTTGAAACACTTCTTTTACGCCCCATCATTCCGTTAAATCCCACATTACCCCTATTCCCACAGCTGCTTCTTGTTCCTGTAGGAAAAGGGATGGAGTGACAGAAGGGGATTGCAAGTCACTGAAGAGTTTAGTAAAAATTCATGCCCGGTTACATGATGAACATTTAGAGACCTTTATTACTGTTCTCTAGTCTATAACCTCTCAGCTGTGCTCACTAGTAATTCTTCTGAATACCTGCTGAATTATACACTTCCTATAAGTATAACGCCTAGGGGAGTAATGCATCTTACATGACTTTATAAAAGTTGCTCTTGCATGGCTAGTTGTCTTTAAACCTAGGGAACCATCAGCAACATGTGTGTTATACATTCCTAAGAAAGCAATAAGCACATAAAGGAGTTATCAAAAATCCTCATATTCTTTCACAAACCTCAAGAATGTTAGTTTTCTATTGTTCCGTTGACACATATGCACACAGTACTTGTTGATTTACCACTAGAAAAGTGTTGATTACCTTAGACTGTACATCAGCATTGTGGTCATTCTGAAGTAAGAGTGCGGCAGATTTTGTGTCATCCTTCCTGGCAGCAATGTGAAGAGCAGGTAGTCTAACTTTCCCTTTAGTGTCATTCTCCAGGAGGATTGCCACCACCATGTTATGTCCTTGCTGCAGTGCCACAGCCAGTGGAGTAAAGCCATCCTGATAACACAATAAGGTAAAGAGTCTTATGTATTGTTGTCTGGCTAAAATAATGTCAAGGTGTTTTGCCCATTTACATGCACTGTGATGTTATACATTACAGATGACTTGCATGTTTTCTGTATTCTGAGGCCCAGAGACAGCAGATCAGATCAGGGAAGGGATTAAGTAATGGGATTTATGTCACAAAGGGTAGTCCATACTAGGTCTGCTGGATATATATATATATA